TTTCAATAATTTCAACATTGGCAAGTTCAGGCAGATTTATGGACTCACTTTGCAAGCCAATTTTCAGCGCTTTCTTGATGTCAAATGAAACCTTGTCCCAAATTAAAGTTATATATCATGTTCCAAGCTTTCCAAAAAGTCCTAGAAGTCCTGCATATGATTTGTGAAGCTCAAGTTATGGATGTTCAAAGTTGAGGAAAAATAAGCCAAAATCCATAACTTAGAGCTTTTTCTAAGTTATTCGTGGACAACTTGCATGGCATGATTTTCAACATCATTTTTCATGGTCTTCCAATCGTCAAATTAAGATGAGTTCAACATGAAAATTGTTCCTTGCCATGCCCTCTTTACTTAGAGCTCAAGTTTAGGGCAAATTGGTCTTTGTGCATCAAGTTATCATTGCTCAAAGTTGGTGGTTTGAACATATTTTCAATGCATGTGTTACAAGTTATTTTGGCATAGCTTTGCATTTTAATCATACAACCTGGTTCACTTCACATCCCATGCGCATGATGCTAGTCTTGAAGTACACCAAACATTTCCCAAACAAGCCAAACACCCAATGTACAATTTTGTTCATTTTCAAATAACATTTCCTAAACAAGTGATAAACCAAAAACTGCCACAAGACAATGCCTCTCTCCATTTTGTTGCTGGCAGATACAAAAAAGCAACTATCATTTTGTCCATTATTGCATAGCCCTAGCAGCTGCTGTCCTTGTTCATCACACATCATTGATTCAAAATTCATGAAAATATGCAAATCTGCCCCTTCATTTTTCCATTTCACCTTTCCATTTGATATTTAAGCTAAAGAGAAGCTTGAGAAAACCCTAGCCACCACTGTTGCAAAAAACCAAAATTTGAGCTTTGAAATCCTCCAAAACTACAAAAATTGCCTTGTGCAAATTTCATACCAGCATCCTTTCCAATCCTTCAGCCATCATAAAAATCATCCAAACAACCTCAAAATAATCATTAGAAGGTGTTTCAACCATCAGTTTCACCATAAACATCACAAAGCCAAAAGTCAACTTCTCACACCCCTTATTTGACTTTTATGCATAATATGTGTAAACTCACTGCCTAGACCAGTTTGAAACACTTAGACACTTTGAACACCTTCCCTTTATGTTATTTCAACTGTTTGAAACCTTAAAAAGCAAGTGGAACCTCATTTGTTAGATCTGTCCCAAAAAGATCACTTGTTGCTTCAAAAGGAAGAAAATCCAAGGCTTGCTCAAAAGAAAAAAGGGGGTACTGTGTGTTTGCTGCTAACTTGCTATTTTTTTGGAGGTCTACAAGAGGTACGTGGCCCTGAATCTCCTCATTAATGTGCATCATGTTTATGTTTTGTTGGTTTGCTAAATGGTTTAAACACTGTTATGCTTAAAATGCAACTTTGTCGTCCAATATGTGTGTTTGCTGCTAAGATGTCGTTAGGTTGGTGTATGTGGTTATTACTTTCATGAAAGTATCAAGTTGAGCACTTGATGAATTTGTGCCTTAAGCATTGTTATGTTTGACAGTTATCATTGGTGAAGTTAAATTGGATTTGTCTAACATAATGAGGGTTTGCATTATGGAGTGTCAAAGACTTCCTTGTTTTTGTGGCTGCTGTTAGAATTTGTTAGAGGTTGGTTTCACATGTTAAGTGTTCAGGTTTATGTTTGTGTTTTCCATACAAGGGGATTTGATGGGAACTGAGTTTTTAACTCAAATGTCGTTGGCATTAGTTCAGTCTCTTAGGTTAGGAAATGTGTTTAAGCATTGGAATTGTCAAGAGCTTTAAGACATTAGAGTTGTTGTTTGGTTTAATGGTTTGTTGCACTTATGTTGCTGTCATAAGTCTTACATTAGGGATGGCCTTTAGTCTTGAGCTTATTGTTGCACCCCAAAATTTGCCCAACCTTTTCTTAACTTGGTTTATGTTTCATTTCATTTCTTTCTAGCATTTGCATTGCATAGCATTTTTCATTGAATAGGGGATCAAAAGGTTGTGCATAGCAAGAGGAGTCTACTCAGAGGGTTGAGCCTAGGCAAGGGGTGTTACTCAAGTTTGAATGGTCATCAAGTCATCTAGAAGTAGGCAGTGGCTTTGTGAAAGGATTGATGGATGTATGTGGGTCAGCTCCTAACTTGGAGGCCAGTTCAAGATCATCAGAGGATTGTGAATGCATGGTTATGGATATAAGATATTGAGAGAGCTCATTGAGTTCTTTGAGATCCATTTGGAGCTTATTCAAGTTGTTGTGTGAAGTGAAACAAGCCATAGTCAAAGATGTTGCATCTAGGGTTTTCATCTGGTTAATCCTCAGTCAATTGTGAAATTGGAGGAGATTAAAACTTAATTCCAAGTCTCCATGGTCATGGGATGTTGTTTTAAGATACATGGGATATAATTTCAAGATCAATTCATCAAGAATCAAAAGTGTGAGAAGTTACTAAATTAGGGTTCTCAGTGTAAAATCCCCTGTTTAGTGTCTGACTTCAAAACCACCTATCTCAAGATACAAGTTTCATCTCAACTTTTGACCAACATGAAACTTGTAGAGCATGTTCTTAGCTTTCTTTTTGAGTACTAGAAGTCCTTGATTGGATTTATAGAAATCAAGTTATGATGCAGACAAGTTACAGGTCATCAGATGAATGTGATTTTGGTCAACAAAAGTCAACCAACTTCCGAGCTACTTTTTACCTAGAAGGATGTTTCTCCTAACCTTTAGGCCAACATGAAAGTTGTAGGTATTGGTCTTAGCTTTCCAAAAAGTACTAGAAGTCTTTCATCTGATTTGTAGAACTCAAGTTATGAGGCTTGCAAGTCAGAGGTATTTTGGGAAAGTGAGATTATAGGTCATAAAATTATAGGTCCATTTCACCAACTTGCACACTTCAAATGAAGATTTTTCCAACATCAAATATGCTCCAAATGGTTTCATTTGTTCAATCAAACATCAAGAAGTCATGGATTTGGCTTGGTTTGAGGAATTGATGTGTGAATTTTCATGGAAGAAAGCTTAAAAGAAGAAAATTGGATTTAATTCACTTTGGACCATTTTTCTGCAAATGAATACATATTTTGAGTGCAAACTATATTTCAAGCATCATGGAATTAATAGAATTTGAATTTGGGAAGTTTTTGTGAGCCATTTCCAAGCTTACTTCATCATGAAGTTACACTTGAAACATCAACCATTGATATCAAACAAGGAGTAAATCATGGACATTCACACTCCATACACTCCCATCAAGAGTTTTGAGCCAATTTGGAGCCAAATTTGAAGCATTTTCGTGCACTTGAAGAAGCTCCAAAATCAATTCCCATGGATTTTCAATTGGGCTCTAGGGACTAGAATTGGGCTTCATTCTGATTCAAATCCATTACATAAAAGGTTTCTAACCTTCACAAATCATGAGAATACGAAATTGGAGGCAAATTGCTCAAGAACAACTTTGAAAAAGTGGTGAAAATTCAAAATTCAAAATCTGAGAATTAGCAAGTTTCAAGCCAAATTGTGAATTGCAAAAGCTTTATTGAAGTTTGTGGAGTGATTCTGGACATTTTTCTGCAAGCTTAAGCATCAATTGAAGGCTCAATGGAAGTTCACCACTAGGTATTTTCCAATCGACCTTACACTCTGAATATGCCATGATTCATTGCCATTTTTGCATATTTGAGACCTAGACAACATGTAGATCATTAATCACTAAAATGAACTGGCATTTGTGATGGTTGTTGGTGGATGCTCCAAACTGTTTTGATCTGGTATGCCTTGTTCTTGCGTGTTTTGCTTGATTGTTGGTGGATCTTTAATCTCCATAACCTCTAGATGATGTTTGCACAAAATGGATTGAGTTTTGGTGAACTTTTAGTTTTGATGCACAAGCTGGTTTGCTTCGGTTTGAGTTCGTGTGGCATGATAATTAATTTTTGATGTTGGATTTGAGATCCTCACGATCTCTAGATGAATTTCCATATAAATTTTGTGCAAAATGGTAGAGATTTGAGATTTGTGTGTTGTTGTTTTCCTCGCGGTGCCCGGAATTGTCGAGGAAGACAATCGGAGTTGCAGTCCGGCCGTTGGCTGGTTCCCTCCATGTTTTGTGAGGAAGACGCTTACGTGGCGTATTATGGTGCGTTCGTTTGGCATACTTTTCATGTTAACGTACACGATTAAGACTCACGGTAGTCTTGCACTACTACAAAAAGGTTTTTTAATAGCGTTTTTTTTTTGCTTTTTAATAGCGCTTTAAAGCGCTATTAATCAAGGCGCTATTGTAAAACAAACTTTTTAATAGCGCTTTAAAAGCGCTATTATAGTTCTGGTAATTAATAACGCTTTTTCAAAAGCGCTATTATAGTACCTGTATTTAATAGCGCTTTTACAAAACCGCTATTATAAGTCACATATTTGATAGCGCTTTCAAACAAAGCGCTATTATAGTACCGGTAATTTGCTTTAATTTTGATAGCACTTTCAAACGAAACGCTATTATAGTACACATAATTAATAGCGCTTTCCAATAAAGCACTATTATAAGTCACATATTTAATAGCACTTTCAAACAAAGCGCTATTATAATCCACATATTCGATAGCACTTTCAAACAAAGCGCTATTGAAATACCGGTAAATTGCTTTAATTTTGATAGCACTTTCTAACAAAGCGCTATTATAGCACGCTCTCTTCAAAACACTATTTTAATACACTTTTTTTTACACCAAATCATTTTATATATATATATATATATATATATATATATATATATATATATATATATATATATATATATATATATATATATATATATATATATATATATATATATATATATATATATATATATATATATATGGCATTTGCATTTTACAACATTAGAATTCATAAAATAATTATAACTAAGTAGCTAAAATACTTGAAATTAAAATAATAATGACAAATGTGATACCATTAATTTGGCTTAAGAGTACTTCAAACCAAAATATTTTATAAACACAACTAAAGTATTTTGTCATGTTCAACAACCAGTCTTCCAGCACAAGATGTGGCTCCACCAGCCAAAAAGCTAGAATGCTGAAATGAGCCTTTCTTCTTTTTACCAACATATAACTTCTTCGATGTGCTAAGGACGAAAATCCACTTGCAACGTGAGCCTTCTTTTATAGTGTGAAGGAACTCTCCTGATTCTTTGTACAACAACTTTCCATCTTCCACAACAACTTCATAAGACAATCTTTCCATCTAGAAGAAATAAGGGATGGAAATAATGAGTATAACTTCAACACAAAGATAACCAAAAAAGAAGAAAATGTTGACATAAATAGAGAGTTAAAACTTACAGGACCAAGATATTTAACACACTGTTGTTGAAGTTTAGCTCGAGAACACTTGCCAAGATTTACTTCCTTTCCTTCTCCAATATCTAGCCTACAATTTCAAAAAACAAGATTAATCAGTTTCAATTCTGGTGATGAATTTACATGCACAATGAGTACTAATACATTTTGCAAAGAATGTTACCAATAGAAAAAGGGTTCCATGCTCTGACTCTTGAGCCATTTATCATAATAAAAGTGTAGATTATGTCCATACCGATGCCTTGGATCGATCTGTTTCACACACGACAAAAGCATTTCAGTAAATAATGATTGATATAGATAAAGAAAGTTTCCTAGTATGATCAAGAACATGTGTTTGACTTACCGCTTCAAGCCAATGCAGCAAAGCAAGTTTCCTAGCTTTGAAATCTTTCGATAAACCTTTACCAACCTTAGCGGCTCTTGTTCTAGCTCTAGACCAACGCGAAATGGCAGTTTCATGGTTCTCAACATCAAAGAAAGATATAGAGCTTCGCTTTAGTTCAGCAGAATCTAAAAGCTTCCACCTATATATACGATTAAAACAAATTAATGTCAAGTTAAAACACAAGATATTTATGTACAATTGAAATTCTCAATATTAAGTAAATATAACATAATGTATACCAGTTTTGTTGAATAAGATTTGCAGAATCTTCAGATTTCAGTGCTAGTGGCAAAGAAATCACCATATGACAGTAATATAAATGAAATGGAAAAGTGATGATGAGAGGTAATTAAACTCAAGTAGTTGATATTGTTAGAACTTAAATTTACAGATGAGGTTACTCTCTAACTTCATTTATAAAGAGAAAGGATGAAAGTGAAGTTATGTGAGAGAGTTGAAAGTTGACAGAGAAAATCTTCTATCTACTGCAAGATAGCTGTATGCTCGTCCAATAGCAGGAAAACCATCCAAGTTCAACCGGTACGTTAGAGATCCATTCGTACCTACTACCGTTGTCTGCATTACTTTCAACGGTGGCATTTCATCTCTGTTGACATCAATGGATACATTGGTGGAAATTTTCTCAGTTCCATCAGCAACATCGACGAGGTAATTTGCTTTCTTGACAGAATCTGACTCCTAAATCCTATCAAACGGGTCATCGGGATACCTGATATAGCAGAAAGAAACTTACACTTAAACCACTTCAAAACCAAAACAATAACTATATTTACGCTAAAAACACGTTCGTCCTTAATACCTGATTTCCTCGTCACTCTCTGCACCGAAATTTATCCTTGCAGAGACACTGAGGTAGAAATGTTCCTCGTAGAACGAAAAATAAACCGAACCATTGAATTGTCTAAGTTCAAGCGTAGATATGAACGGCTGCCCCGTTGTTGCATTCGATAGACAGACACTAACAGTAGGACTTGAAGCCAAAAATATAATTTCCCTAACTTCTATCGTATTCGCATCCGATATAACAATAGTAGACCATTGAGTACCCCCAATCGAAATATCAAATTTCGGATAAACATTGTTGTTATCAAAGTTTCCATACAAGAATGTTGCCCTCAGTAGATACCTTGTCCTGCTAACAACATCAAGTGTGTAGCAGTATTTTCTCGAATCAGCAGGAAAGTTTCTAAGCGTCGTGTATTGCTTCTGTGTCTCATTCGCAACCGAAATCGTGCTTATTTTTCCAAAAACGATTCCATCATCAGGACTCCATTGAAGACCAATTTCATCAGTGATATTTTTATCACCTCCACAGTCCAAACTCACAAAACCTGTTCAACAAGGCAAATATCATCATCACAAATTAAAAGCATAGATAACAAAAACAACAACCAAGCCTTATTCCAGAAAGAGGGGTCGGCTACATAGATCAACTTTAAAAGAGAATTGAAGAACAATGATATACTAATCATATAAAGATCCACCTCAAATTCCATAATGTATAGATATGTAACATGTTGATGGTAAATTACAGAAAGATAGAATCTTTGGAAATGAAAACAAAGGAATTGGTAAAGTTATAATAGGATAGAACATGGAAAAGAAGGAGCAATATTAACAAGAACCAATGCAAGAGAACAAAAAAAGGTGTAGAAGAAAAAGAAGAAGAGAGTAGTAGTAGTAGTAGTAGTAGTAGTAGGTACCTGGCATCTGAGCAGAAGAAAAAGTGAAGAAAAGTAGGAAGATGAATGAGAGAGAGGAAAGGAAGAAAGGTTCCATTTGTGCACCCGTGAATATTGTCATCCAACTCAACTCTTCACCGTCACGACAATTGCTATAGATTTGGCTAGGAATTGATTCTCGTCAGTTGGATTCGTCGTTGTCCTATAGCAATTGTCGTGACGGTGAATAATGACTACATCAACAACTACCTCCTACCCGGACTTTATTCCAGCAGATCCAATTATACAACTTAGGATTAAATTGATCATTTACCTCGTATTGAAGGCACTTCACAGCTTAGGATTGAGGAAGATCTTCATAGCAGGAGTTGGATTCCTAATCAAAGATCAACAGTTGAGCAACTTAACAGAGATCATCCTGGTGCTATCTTTGCATACGGAAACACCTATGGCGTCTTTGGAGATATTCTCAATAACCCTGCAGCATATTGTAAGATATTAACTCTTTTGTTATAGCTTATATAAAAATTGCACTAAACTTCTCTTGATTGATTGCAGTTGAAGAAAACATCACAGTTTGTATTCTCACAAGCAATTGGTTGATAAAAAGAGGTGAAGACTCTGATGTTAAGTGTCTGAAACAATTTAAAGAAACAACGCGAATGAAGCACAACGCATCGAGCACTGTAACAACAAATTCAGACAAAGCAAAACCAATTAGTACAAGATACCTTTTCAGCTTTATTACAATCTACTTATGTTACTATTATTTGTTTGTTTCAGTTAGTTATATACCTTTTCAAAATTTATTTGTTTGTATCATGACACTCGTGCCAAGCATCAAAATGTAATTTTGAAATGCTAAAAGGATAGTTTCAGCTGCAAAAAAAGATACATTCACAGTGAGGGGGAGAAAAATGCAATAGATAATGTAACGACAAAATATCGATAAGGTTATACAAAAAAATATACACATGCACACTATCTAAATACTCAATGCTCTATGTTATTTGTCTTATGGAAAGTGAGATATTCAGTATTTTATATATCTGCTAGGACCATATCTGCTGGGACCATAAAACTATGTTACTATGTTATTTCTCTTTGCAGCTTTATCTGAGGCAATAGACATGTAAGTTCAACTACTGAATTGAAAATCTCCTCTCCCACAATAGACACAACCAAATAACTCAATTATATTTATTATAATGTTGCAGATACAGTGAATGGATTGACGAATGTGAACGAGTGAACGCCGTTGAAGGTGATGGTACTTAGTGATTGTAAGGATCAACTTATAGTGATAGTAAATCGATGAGTGTCCAATTTTATAAAATCTCCACCATGTAGTTATGTCCATTTCTGTTGTGACTTGTGAGGACTAATACTACTATGAACTTTAGTTTGAATGTGGACTCTTGTGAGGACTAATACTACTAATAACTACTTTAACTTATTCTATCTTTTGTAGCAGAAATAACTTAAAGCATAAGCACTTATTTGATAAACCTTGTCAACACATAACGAAACACCAAAATCATAAGCAATTCAGATTATGATTATATATTTACCTCACATGAAGCAGGAAAATTATTCTTAATGAAATGAATCTCATCTTCAGATATCTTGTAATCAGAAATGAACCTCACACATTCTTCCAAACCAGCGAATGGACAACCCCAATGCGGGCACAATTTACTGTACTTCTGCATACTGTACTTCTGCATAATAATCACAATTTACTTAGAAACTCTTTACAATGAGGGAATATATGATTGAACAATAGCGTAAAATTGTTCACACTGACGGTATATATAATCCAAATCAAACATGCTGACAGCTTATATGAGTTGACAAAATGGTTAAAGCATTCTACAACAATGTTGATGAAAATATTAGCAGCCATGCCAAGATGAAAACAAGTACCTTGAGATTCAACTTAAACAAACAGATAGAACAAAATTCAGAACAGACCTTAAAAACATCAAATGCTGGCCTGAACTTCACTTAGACACATATGATAAAAACCTCCCTTTATAAGTTCAAATAAGCAGAGAAACCTACTGAGTCCTAAAATACTAAATCAACTAGCCTACCTGTGATAATTCTTACCAAAGCCTAGCAGCAGCAGGAGTTCAACACAAATCACACTTAAACTCACAGCAGCAGTCAGCCAGAAAAAACTTCCTCCAAGGATCTAAACAGAACTGAGGCACACAACAACAAGCTTAGAACCTCAATCAAATTAAACACGGTTAGTTACTGGTTAAACTTAAATCAGAGTGATAATTAAGACTAGTGTGAAAAATGTAGTAATTCTTAACAACTAACATGAAATAGTGAGAAAAGAAGAACAGAAAAATCAAAAGACAAACCAGAACCTCATAAGAAGCAAGAAGAAAAGAACAAGTAAAAAGAAAGAAGTAGGAATGAGTTTTGAAGCCATAATAACAATATTGAAGAGAAGTTAAACTTAATTTGCATGCAGATAAAGAAGAAGGAGACACGTATTTATAGTGCTAAGAGTTTTAATATGAATGATGGAAGGTGCAGCCATTTGGAAAAAACAAATGATTAAAGACACTAATGAGGAAGCAAAATATGTACTTTTTCACTGGTATATAGCTGTATATATATCTATATGTGATAGAGCTGTCTTATGTGTATCGTTGTCGAGAATCGTTTGGCAACATCTATCAAACCGCCTTTAGCGTGCCATGTAGCATAGTCATACCATACATCAGGATAATGGTACATATACTTGAGACACTGAATACCAATAAAATGCAGTGAGAAATTCCATAAATGATATAATAAATAAATATCACCAAAGTAAAACACGCAGATGATGATACTCGTAATCCTACTTCTTTACGAGTAATTTTATTTCCTAGTACCTGCTCATAAGTAAATATTTCCTAGTACCTGCTCTTAAGCAAATAATGGTTGAATACAAAATGTTAACTAATAATAGCCCTCTGATAGACTTTCCTAATAACAGTCATATGATATGGTTCTTCTTGTTCATGTACAGGCTGCAACTGAAATTGACCCAAAAAAGTTGAAAATCGACACCGAATTATGCAACAAGAATTGCAGAAAACACAATATTAACTAACCGGCAATGACTTTAGAAAGGATATGTACTCCATCCACAAAGGGCCAGATGCTATGTCTGCTCCTGTTAGCACATCATTAGAAAGATGTGTCAATATACATACATATATAAGTGCTACAATAATCAAAGGAAAACTGAAATACAAAAGTAATAGGACAATGAGAAACAAGTTACTGATACAGTTGAGCATAAACTCAAAGGCTTTTATGGTCTCTTCTTGACCCTCTGTGCCCTTCTTGTCATTGACCTTTCTAATGAAACGAATGTAACACCGCCTATAAACAAGGATAAACAACACTGAATTCTCACATATAATCAAAACCTTTCAAACAACATATCCATTCTGTCTGCCAAAACAAGCAAGTAGAAAAAACAGTTATTACTAGAGAAAATTCGGAACAAGATGAATAGTATAGCAATAATTACCTTTACTTCTGAAGTCTAGATACATACATGAAGCCACATTGACACTTTGTACAAGTC